GCTCAGTGGTTCTGCCGCCTGCCCTGCAAGCGCAAGGACCCGAGTTCGATCCCCGGTACCAAAATAAATAAATAAAATAAAATACAATTGAATAATTTAGTTCAACCATAAAAGCATCTCTATTCTTGTACATATTAATTTTTATTATTTTCAGAAGGTTTTTTAAAACTTTAGGGTGTGGATACTGAAGCAATAGTAACTTGTTCTATAAGGTAGCTTAGAATTGGTAGTTCTCATGTGATTAACACAAATCTAGATTTGCCTTCTTGGTGTCAAATTGGTGGGAATTTTAGCCCCAGAGTCATAAAACAGCATATGGAGTCCCTGGAAGAAACTTGGAAGCGTCAGGTTACCTTGAGATATTCTCTTAAATAATGGAAAATATAGTACTCTTCCTCTGGTAGGAGATATCCCCTCTAAGCACATGGATTTTTTTTTTTTTTTTTGGTACTGGGGATTGAACTCGAGTCCTTGCACTTGCGCAGCAGGTGGCAGAACCACTGAGGTAAATCCCCGGCCCAGAACATGGATTTTTGTTAAGCATTCTGGATTTCGTGGAATAAGTCAAGGGTTCACAGATGTTCTACACAACTTATCAATTGGTATTTTTGAAAAATTTCTTTTACCTTCAAACCTATAACACTTAAAAGTTCTTTTGTCTGAATGAGACACTAAGGAGAAAATACCTAAGTCTTTCCTTTTCTTTTTTTTTTTGGTACCGGGGATGGAACTAGGATCCTTGCGCTTGTGAAGCAGGGAGCAGAACCACCGAACTAAATCCCCAGCCCAAGTCTTTCCTTTTCTGACAGGGCTTAATGAAGTGTTTGCTTAGTTTTATATTGTAAAATGATTTTATATTAAGTGATATTAATGAATATTTTTTAACCTGCCATGTTAATTACAGGAGAATATAGAAGGAAACTAGTCCTCTTGTACTTATTGTCTGTTGTGGTGACTATCTTTCTATAAGTAAAAGTACAGTAGCATATAATTAAATGTAAAATTATGGTGTTGAAGCCCATTCCTTTTGTAGGGTATATGGAATGGTCACCCTATGGTTTACTCTTGTAGGTAGAAGATAAAGAGAGGGACACCTTTCTTCTCTGTTTTGAATACCACTGAATTCAATTTCAAGCCTTTTGGATGAGGGAAGGGAAAGGATTAGGTAGAGGCAAAAATGGGACTCCTGGGTTATTGGTAATCTTGTAATTCTTACACGATCACTTTGTTACTTTACTGATCTGTGTGCTTATGTTGTATGTCCTGTGTGTGTGTGCATTGTATGTATGTTAGGAATTAAGCCCAGGGCCTTGTACATCCTAAGGACACACTCTACCACTTAGCTATACTCCTAATCAGTGTACTTTTCTGTATGTATTGTACATTCAAAAAGATGTTAAGGGCACTTTTCAAGTGCCCTTGTTTTGCCTGGTCCCCCTCTGCATTGAGGATCCCTGCCCTCCTGGTGTCTAGTCTCTTATGTGGAATGAGAAATCATTAAGGGAGGGATTAGAAAGGGCAAGAGTAGTTATGGAAAACAAAACATTTCTTCAGTAAACATTAACTGGGCATGAACCATGTACCAGATGCTGTGCTAACACAGAAAATTTGAATGAAATCAAAGGTCACTTTTGAAGGGGAAAATAAGATTTAGATGATGTTAATTTATCCTGGTTGTAGATCAGTACTAGTCTTTACCAATAATGTAAATAGAAAATGCTGACTTCACATTGACTGTTTACTAAGAGATTTAATCTTTATACTGACTCTATGAGACAGGTCCTATTACTAATAATACAATTTATACATTCATCCTAAAGTTATTCAGCCAGGATATAGTGGAGCTTGGATTCAAGCTCAAATTCCGGTTACCTGTTTCTCTGTGAAATTAATGCAAAGACTATTAAGGGAAATGCAGGTTGACTAGAGGCACTATTACAAGATGGCCAGTGATCCTTTTGTTTATGTTTGGAGCTCCGTGTGAATGCCTTTTCTTCTTTTTACAGACATGGCTGGATTCTGCCAAAGAAATAAAAAAGCAGGTTCGAGGTAAGTAGATATAGCCCTTTTTATAGGTCTTTTTTTCTTATAGTAGGTCAGAGGATTTCCACCCACTTCTGGCTGTGAGTCAGTCACTTTAGAATCCTTACTATTGCAGATTGCTTTGAAAGTGAGATAAAACCTTTCCCTGGAAGGAGGAGATTCCATAATAGAAAAACACAGCTGAGGTGAAACTATAGAGATACAGGTCAGATCTGGACCAAACTAGGCAAAGTTGGGGAAGATAGGAATAATGAGAGTATTACAAGGTAGAAAAGAACAAGGATATGGGAGTCAGTTTTCAAAATGGTAGCTATCAAAACTGTAGTGGCCCACTAGGAAGAGTTTGCTGCCAGATCCTACTCTTTTAAAATAGTTCCAGACCTACTACCTCTGTCTCTCTCCTTTCCCCCATCTCTCTCTCTCCCTCTCCTCCCCTTCTCCCTCCCTTGCTCCTCCCTCTCTTCTCCCTCCTCCATCTATCCCTCCCTCCCTTCCTCCTTCCCTCCCTCCCTTTCTTCCTCCTCAGGGCCTCAAACATGCTAAGCATACACTACCATTGAGCTACAACGCCAGCCCTGCCTTCTAACTTTCTCTATGTTTTCCTTTCTATGCAGTAGTCCTTTCTTCTCTGTGGTTTGACTTGACCTAGTTTTATTTACCCATAGTCAAATGTAGTCTGAAAATATTAAATGGAAAATTCCAGAAATAAACAATTCATAAGTTTTGAATTGCATGCCATTTTTAGTATTAATTGAAATCTTGTGCAGTCCTGCTCCATTCTGTCTGGTGTGTGAATCATTCCCTTGTCCAGCATAGCCCCACTGTATATTCTCCCCACCCTGTTAGTTGCTTAGTAGCCATCAGGTTGTCCAGTAGACTATCATGGTATCATAGTGCCTGTGTTTAGGTCACCCGTATTTTATTTGATAATGGCCACAAAGTACAGAGTAGTGATGCTGACAATTCAGTTAGGCCAAAGAGAAACTTAAAGGTTGGTTTGTCTGTCTCTGTCTCTGTCTCTCTCTCTGTCTCTCTCTCTCTCTCTCTTTCTCTTTTTCCTCCCTTCCTTCCCCTACCCCTTTCCTTCCCCCATCCACTTCCCCTTCCCCTTAGAGTTTTTATAAATATATATAAATAAGTAGTAAATGTGCACAGTACAAACCTCAAATGGCATACAATTGTATATAGTGAAATAAGATCTCACTGGTATCGGTTTTCTCTAAGTTTTCCAATTTCTGTCTTCAGTTCTCCTTCATAGTTTTCCAGCAACTCTGACTAGTTTATTATATATCCTTATAGAGATAGTCTATACATATTTAATCATACTTGTAATGCATACTTTTTTCTACCTCCAACTCACAGAATAGCTTTCTGTTTATACTGTTCTTTTTTTATTTTTCTGTCACTTGATACTGTATTTTGGAGATTATTCCATATAGAGCTACTTCTTTTTTTAATAGCTACCTAGTTTTGTAACATCTATAATTTAACTTATCTTTTCTTGCTAAATATATTTAGGTTGTTTCTAGGATTTTGCTCGTACAAAAATTCATACACTTATTCTTATTTCTGGCTGAGATTAGGCCTTACTCTTTGGGAAGCCAACAGTCATGCTAGAAAAATCCTGAAGGGTAGCATTCAGCCCCCCAAAATTAAATACATCCTCCATTTAACCATTATTCATAATCTCTGATTTTTGTTGTAAATAAAAAATAACACATTTATTTGAGTTTCAGGGTTGAGCTCTTACCAACAGTATTTTAATTATTCCTTATTTCTAAAATAATGCAATCTCAGTCATATTGATGGAAGAGTGTTTTGTTTATTTGAGGTAACATTGGCAGATAACACAATTAATGCCAAAACCAAAAAAAGAAAATCCACTAGTCACCTGAATGACCTCAAATCTAATGACCTAAGGACCCAGAGCAGTATATAGATCACATTTTGAAAATGAATGCTATAAACAAGTTGACCTATGGGTTTCCTCCTTGTTATTTTGGCAGTCATTCTAATCTCTTATTAACTGAACTGTTAAGTCAGGTTAAAGAGAGAGACACAGAGAGAGATCCTGTAGCTCTCCTAAGTGGTATTTTAGCAACTTTCTTTAAAACAACAGCAACAGAAATTTGTAATCACAGTGTGTGACTATGTCAAAAATTTCAGAAAACAATAACTTTTGAATATTTCAGGGTACTTCTGTAGAAGGAAATTTAGGCATAACCATAAAATCTTTTATTTTTATAGGCATCCCTTGGAATTTCACATTTAATGTAAAGTTTTATCCACCTGACCCAGCACAGTTAACCGAAGACATAACAAGGTAAATAATTCATCATTAGTTACATATATGATAGTAATTCTCATCATCATAAGCTCTGGGAATTTCCTATTCAGAATTGAAGAAAAATGATGAGCTATTAAATGATCAGCCTTAAAACAGAAAGTTTCTGGTCACTTCAAAGCAGGCTTACAAATAAGCAAGTCTAAAAGTCTCAACTATCTAACTTGCCTAGAAGAAACTGGTAGGGAAACTAGCCTTATCATTCATATTATGCCAAGCAGTAGGCCTGGCTCCTCCAAGCCATACCATCCTCCCAGAGGGCAATGTAGTGGTAAAATGGCTCTCCTGAGTTGTTGTTGTTGTTGTTCTTCTTCTTCTTCTTCTTCCTCCTCCTCCTCCTCCTCCTCTCTTCCTCCTCCTTCATCTTCTTCTTCTTCCCCTTCCTCTTCTTCCCCTTCCTCCTCTTCCTCCTCCTCCTCCTGCTCCTCCTCTATTTCTTTTTGTAGAGATCAAAAAATCTAAAAATCTCAGGGTCATTATTATGTCTTTCTGTCTCCTCCTCCTCCTTCTTTTGCGTTACTGGGGATTGAAACTAGGGCCTTCACACTGATTTACCTCCCTGACCCTTTTTATTTTTTGAAACAGGGTCTCACTGAGTTGCTGAATTGCCCAGGCTGGGCTCAAAGTTGCAATCCTTCTACCTTAGCCTCCCAGAGTACTGGGATTTCAGGTGTATGCCACCAGTCTAGCTGTGTCTTCCTCTTAAACTGTATGATTAGGTATATGATCCTCATGAATTGAATCTTCTTTGAGCTTGTTTGACTTACTACATTCTTTATAAACAACCTACTGAATCCTTTAAGGAAATGATTTTTATTGGGTTTTCTAAAAAAATTAACCAAAAAAAAAAAAGAAAACGGAAGGGCAATATATTGTAAAGAGGATGTGAGGATGATCTGGGTGCGACATCTGTCACCCCATTGATTGCCAGGGTTGATTCGGCTGATCTGGCCGGCCAGGCGGGTGTCCCCTTCCTCCTTCACCGCTCCATGTGTGTCCCTCCCAAAGCTGTGTGCTCGGTCGAAGAGGACGACCACCCCCGATAGAGGAGGACCGTTTCCTCAGTCAAGGGTATACGAGTAGCTGTGCTCCCCTACTAGAACCTCAAACAAGCTCTCAGGGTCTATTTGTAAAGAGTACTATTATACGTATTTATTCCATAACCTCTTGCATGGAGCCTTATATCTAGTAGGTGCTTGGCAAATGTTTGTTAAATTGAATTGTTGGTTGCCAAGAAAGTGTTTTCTAATTCTGATTTTGTTGTCAACTATCTGATTACAGGCAAATTTATAGCCTCTAAGCCTCAGTTTTCATACAGTTTGAGTAAGGGAATAAAATAAACTTTTTTTAAAAATCTGATTATTGATGGGTGTGGTATTGAACTCATGTAATCCCAGTACTCGGGAGGCTGAGATAGGCTACTTGGCAAAACCGTGTCTCCAACAAAACCAAAAATCTGATTATTCGATGATTTGAAAAGTTTATACTATTTTTAAAGATTACTTTGTTGTCCACTCATACTTAGTATATTTGTAAAGTTGAAATGCTATATATCTCCCTGAGGAAATTGTTTATTTCTTTTTCACAGGTAATACTTGTCTGTTAGAGTTGCTACTTACTCATCTTTCTTCATCTAGGCTTACTCTGCATAAAAAAACACATCCCTAAAAATCTTTACTAATTACCTATGTTTTAAAGAAGTTTAAGATTCTTCTTTTTTGGACTTTTTCCAGCTTTTCTTCTTTTCTTTCTAAACTGCCTTCCAGCTATGAGTTCAACATAGTTACAGTATTTGTTTTTGTTTTTAATGGGAAAATTTCAAACACAGAGAAAGAAGAAATAATAATACAATGAGCAGCCATATGCCTATCACCTTGTTGAACAATTAATGCTTTAGTCTTTTTTCTTCTTTTTAAAGATCATTTCTCTCTTTTTCCTTTTCTTCCTTTTTATTTCTTTGCATTGTTGTTGTTGCTAACATGTCAACATCTTTCTTTTTTTGGCTTTAGATACTATTTATGTCTTCAGCTTCGGCAGGACATCGTTGCAGGACGTCTGCCCTGTTCCTTTGCAACCTTGGCATTATTAGGTTCTTACACCATCCAGTCTGAGCTGGGAGACTATGACCCAGAACTCCATGGCGTGGATTATGTTAATGATTTTAAACTGGCCCCAAATCAGACCAAGGAACTTGAAGAAAAGGTCATGGAGCTGCATAAATCATACAGGTGAATATGTCTCCGAGATTTATTCTATTTATTTTGGCAATAAGTTTAAACCTATGGCCTGCTATTGATTCATTATTTACCTAAGAGGGAGCGTGGTGCCTTAGAAAGAATCAGCGTTTCCCTGCGCTGTTTGACCATGGGCAAGTCACTGAAGTCTTCTGAACTTCACTTTTCTCGTTAGAGTAATATGCATTACATGGTAGGATGAAAACTAAATGAAACGATAGATGTAAAGCACTTAGCACAGGACCTGGCACATACCAGATGCTAAATAAATGGCAGCTATTATCATTGCCTTACCTTTTCTCAGGTTTTAAACTTATGCTATAGTAAATGCTTTGAGATCCTTAGAAGCAAGAGTTTTTAACTTGGGATATATGTACAGAGATAGATTTTAGAGGGCCCATGAAAACCCCTGAAGGTATTTTTAAAGATCTTTATTGATTATACTGCTTTTTAAAAAAATGAAAATAATTGCTACCAGTATGGGGAAGTCATAACAGTAATCAAGAACAAGCACTTATAAGGGCTGGGGATGTGGCTCAGTGGCACTGTGCCTGCCTGGCAAGTGCAAGGTCCTGAGTTCAATCCCTGGTACTGGGGGAAAAAAAAAGAAAAGAACAAGGGCTTATAAATCAGTCTGAGCTACGCTGAAATCTTACCTTAAGACCTTAGGTAATTCACTTAAAACCTCTCTGCACTTCAGCCTTCTTATATGTGTGAATGAGGTTATTACCTCAGAAGAAACAGGGTGGTTGCTTACAAAAGGATATGTGTGTAAAACACTTAATATAATATCATAATGTCTTTGTATTATAAAAATTCAGTAAATGCTGGCAAATATTAAAATGCCATAAAAACTTGTGTTTCTTCTTACCATATATCCACTGTTATTTGGAGGACTTACTACAGCTAAATTTCACATTTAACATGGAAGTCTGATTTTGGCCTTAAGTTAGTGTCCTGAGTTATGTTAGCATAAGTTTCGTAATGCTGAAAGAGAAATCCAAAGTGTAGGTTTGGTCCACTGCTATTGTACTACCACGTATTCTGTTTAGTCACTGAGCCACATTGTTCTCCTTGGGGTGATTCTGGTAGGATTGTATGGATTGGGATGCTTCAAGGAGAGAGCTTTAAATCAAGGTGCCCCAGCTCTTAAGTGACTTATTGCCCCTGTAGATTTAGACACCTCAGTCATTAAAACCATAATAAGAACTGTAAAGTTAAAAAAAAAAAAAAAGAACTGTAAAGTTTATAACCTTCATAGCAGTAGTCTTAGGAGAGTTACTCAACTCTCATGGGGTCATACTACTTTTTCTCTTCTTTTAATAGTGGCAAAGTTTCACATTTATTAAAGGTAAGAAAAGAACAGAAGGGTAGAGGATGAACAAGCTCTGAAGAGTGAGTCTGGGCTGAGTAAAAAGGGGAAAAAAAAAAAATATATATATAAACCCTACAGTGTAGGGTGGGTTATTGTGAAGAGGCACTATAGCCCAGGTCATACCACTTCTAAAGAGAACTGTGAAAGTTTGCTTTCCAGGTTTGGGCGTATACATTCCAATGAACTGAAGTCAGAAACCACTAAACACACCACTTTCAACTTGTTAATGATTGTAACTTGAAGATGTTACATTGTCTTTGAATACTTTTTGAGGGGTGGGAATTGAATTTAGGTCCTCACACTTGCCAGGCAGGCACTGTGCCACCGAGCTACATCCCTGGCCCTTGAATACATTTTTAATACTTTATATTCTGTTATGATTCTAAAAACCTATACACATATATACATACAGAAACACATATTGAAAAGAATTAAAATAGGTCTTTGCTGCCCAGAGCAGCACTGATCAGACCCAAAGCTCAGCTTCTTCTCAGTCTCATTTTTCTACCTTTCCTGTAATTTGCCATGTACTGCCGTGGCTCACAGGAGACTAGGACTTAACTGCAGAGGTTCTGGTAACATCCCCTTTCCCTGTTCCCTGCATTTGGCGCCCAATGTGGATGTGAATCGGATCCACAAGTGAACTCGCCTGTGAGACAAACTCGGAGTAAAAGAGACAACACACATCTCCCAGGACAATTTCCAGACTTGGACGAGGGACACTGGTGATAAGGATGAAACCTTGTGGCTGCCCTCCTGGAACATGTGATCATGGGTCACACTGGTGGAACCACCACCATCTCTGAGACCAGGGATAGCACCCCCACTGAGAGGTCTGAGCCAGATGCACCTGAGTGACCCACCTCACCAGCGATGACCAACAAATCCACAGCGAGGTCCAGGACTGAGATGATGCCCCCAGAGGAATAATAATTATAGATTTATGATATTCACATAGGGCAGAGAGGGTGAGCTGGTCCCAGCACCCGGAAGGAAGCTCCCCCACCGCCATCCCAGGCTCCTAGGGCAGTGAAGCTCAGCAGGTCCCAGCACCTAGAAGGAAGCTCCCCGCCTCCAACCCAGGCTCCTAGGACAGTGAAGCTCAGCAGGTCCCAGCACCTGGAAGGAAGCTCCCCGCCTCCATCCCAGGCTCCTAGGGCAGAGAGGGTGAGCCAGTCCCAGCACCCGGAAGGAAGCTCCCCCACTACCATCCCAAGCTCCTAGGGCACAGAAGGTGAGCCCCGTGGGTGCCAGAAGCACCCCCACCCCCCGTGGAAATGAGAAGACACATAAGCCTCAAAAACAGACTTCTGGATCACCTACAGCAACCCCAAAGGGAAACGAGGTGGAACAATCTGATACTCAACCACCTGGACTCTCTGAACTGCCAACAAAAGAGGATCTGGGAAAAATGAAATCAGAAATAATTACTCAGATA